TGCACAGCCTTCCTAAACACTTCCTGTAAAGAGTGATCTAAGGTTTATACTTCCTTCATTGTAAATTCTGTTTACTTTAAAAAAAAATCTTATCTCCTGCACGGTTAATAGCTTGCTAGACCCTTCAGGAGCCCCTTGTATGTAATTCAAGTTCAATTTACAGAGCAGGAGATCAAAACTTTTAAATTAAGTTACATCTGTTCGAAAGTGAAACCATTTTTATTCATACAGGCTGTGCGTAACAGCCATGGGAGATGTGACTAGGGCTGCATAGACAGAAAAGTGATTTAACAGTAAAACTTCAGATGCATGACATATACACCAGAACTGCTTCATTAAGCTACAGTTGTTTTGGTGACTATAGTGTCCCTTTAAATAGTATATGAAAATAGAGAAAAGGGATAAAGTTGGTAGTGGTGTGCCTAAACCAACGTACAGGTAGGCCTGTAATAAATAGGGCCCACCAGAGGTAATGTAAAAATTAATAGTAAGATATTAGAGTGAGTGTTGGGTGGAGTCATTCGAACAGAAAACGACATAGGTAAGAAGGGGGGTAGAGTTTAAATAGGGAAAACGCCTCCCACAAATTCAGGCCTATGGCCTTTTACTTGTGGTCAGAACTTAATTAGTATAAAAAAAAGAGAAAAGGGATAAAGTTGATAGTGGTGTGCCTAAATCAATGTACGGGGAGGCCTGTACTTAAGAGAGCAATAAATATTGCTGAAAAACACACTTTATTGCAATCATAATACTAAACATTTAAATGCTTTCCTGAGTTCTTTCTCAGGCTGCAGGATATACGTGCTGTAGACAGAGGATTTCCATCTGCCCAATCTTTTAATGATATGGACTGGCGTGTCCATACTGGAGGCTGTGGAGGCTGCCCCGATTCTGAAGGATAGCCCAGAAAAAGAAGAGAGGGGTTATGTCCCAATCTTAACAGCAATGCTCTAACATAGAATATGAATTTGGAAGTGGTAAGTAGGTGTCTGTGAAGAAGTAGTAAGGGAGAGTAAGCGGGGTGACTGATGAGTTTGGATAGAAATGAATCAAATATTTTAACGGGGCACCAGAGGTTATCTATTGGAAAGAGAGGGATTGTAGTAGAATGGTTAGTATGGTTGGTCTTAAAAGAATGTAATGACATAATGTAATGGTCGCTGTGTTTGACCACGTCCGATAATTTTAAACTTGTGCTGATATCAGATTGACGGACCACAGTGAACTCTCAGTGTTTGAGGAAGCCATAGAAGGCAATGTAAATTGCTACTTTGATGATAGCGTTAGCCAGCACTTTAAAGAGGTTAGTGTCTAAAAGGTCTGATATGTCCCTGATAATGGGTCAGTCTATGGGTAATCTATAGGTTGTAGGAGGTCGATCTATTTTGTTAATAGTTTTGATGGGATATGAGGAAAGAAAAGGGGAGTGATTGAGAAAGGTGGTAAAGACGTGGTGTTGTATACCTGTAAGATATAATTTGATGGTGTTATGTGCTAATTTGAGGTGTAAGTGACAAAAAGAAGCAAAAACCACCATGGTCTTGATAGAGTAATTATCCAGAATGAGAAATTCCCCACCAAATTTGTGGAAAATAATCAAAGCCCTATCATATGCCATCTTAGTGTTGGCTGACAGAGCGTTGCGTGAGAGTGACCGTACATGGGTCAATAATCCCGTAAGTCCATGATTAGCTCTGGAAATGTTGGGGTTCTGGATGGGAGTTCATTGCCGAAGGGATGCACCTTAAGAAAGTCATGAAAATTAGACCGGGACAAAGCGTCAGCTGCAGTATTATGAATGCCCGGAATGTGCTCGCACACCAAGAAAAATTGTAGTTTGGCGGCAAGCCATGTCAACTTTCGTACCAATCTCATTATGGTCAAAGAGGAAGATCGCTCCTTATTGATGATCTCGCAAGCCGCCAAATTATATGAGAAACACTTGACTGCCTTACCGACCCACAGATGACTAATGTGTGTGCTGCTGCTACTATGGGATAACTCTAAAAAAGGGCCAAAGGTAAGTGTCTCTTGAGGCCAAACGTTCCTAAAACAGTGGTTACCAAAAATTGCGGCGAACCCAGTGTAGGCTGCCATGTCAGTCCAAATTACAGGGGAGTGATCGGTCAGTGGGGGGATGAACATGGAGATGGCGTTCCACTCTGCATGGAAGTGCTTCCACATGAACAAATCGGCCACGGCTGGGAGATTGAGGACTAGGGTGCCATCGTCAGGCACGCCAGGCAGGAGGCAGAGCAACCTGGAGATAAGAGAAGATCTCCCCTGTGGAGTGATACGAAATTGAGGTATCCCAGTAAAGACTGAACATCCCTCCATGTACCAGCACCTTTTTGGAGGAATTTGTCCAGTTCTTGTCTGATGCGTACTAAGGTTCTCTACCAGAGGCCTGGGACTTTGAGGGTTCTGCGCAGTATCTTAGCTGTTCCTCGAACTGCACTCTTCTGGACAGCGATCTCAGATTTCAGATGTCCCTTTATTGTAGTCAGTCCAAGTCATACACAGATTGGTCTGTCTGGTCTTAGAATCCCTTGTGACTTCTTGGTCTACCAGTAGTTGGTGTTCTGATCCTCTGGTGTTGTTTCCAATCCCCTTCTGAGTATTGCTTATATATTGACTCATGTGCCCTTGGAAGCCAACTTGGGAGTCAAAGCCCCGAGTGCTCCTATCACAAATGAGACTACTACTACTTTCACCGTCCACATCCTTTCTAGTTCTTCTTTCAGTCCTTTCAGTCCTTGGTATTTGTCCCCCTTCTCATGTTCCCTCTTCCTGATGTTTTAGTCACTGGGTATTGCCACATCCACCACAACTGCAATCTTTCTTTCCTTGTCTACCACCACAATGTCTGGTTGGTTGGCCAGCACTTGCTTGTCTGGCTGGATCTTGAAGTCCCACAGGATCTTAGCCCTGTCATTCTCAACTACACTTTGTGGTATCTCCCATCTTCGGCAGGTCCAGTCCATATTCTGTGCAGATGTTTTGGTAAACAATTCCAGCAACTTGGTTGTGTCTCTCTGTGTATGCTGTTCCTGCTAACATCTTGCATCCGGCTACTAGGTGCTGGACTGTCTCAGAGGCCTCTTTGCACAGTCTGTACCTTGGGTCTTGCATGGTGTGGTAGACTCAAGCTATTATTGATCTGGTGCTGAGTGCCTGCTCCTGTGCTGCTAGGATTAGTGCCTCAGTGTTGTCTTTCAGTCCTGCCTTTTCCAACCACTGGTAGGATTTTGTCACGTGAGCCACATCCACTATCCTAGGATTTTGTTATGTGAGCCACATCCACTATCTGCCAGTGGTACTCCCCATGGAGAGGTTTGTCTTGCCAAGGAACCTCCTCTTTTTTTGCATCCTCGATCTGTGGAAGTCTAAGGCATTCCCTTAGCAGTTCATCTTTGGGAGCCATCTTCGTGATGTACTTGTGGATGCTCTGTGTTTCAACCAGGACTGTGGCCTTGACACTCATCTGGCCCTGACCTCCTTCCTTCCGGCAGGTGTACAATCTCTGGGTGCTGGATTTTTGGTGGAATCCTCCATTCATAGTGAGTAGTTTTCTGGTCTTGACATCCATGGTGACCAGTTCTTCTCTTGGCCAGGTTATTATTCCAGCTGGGTACCTGATGACCAGTAGGGCAAATGTCTTGATGGCTTGGATCTTGTTCTTGTCATTGAGCTGGGACTTCAGGGCCTGTCTGACTCTTTGGAGGTACTTGGCTCTTCCACATGGCTTCCATGCATTTGCGGTATCCCCAGGTATTTGTAGCTGTTCTCTACATCTTCTATTTGGCCTTCTGGAACTTCAACTCCTTCTGTCCTGATCATCGCTCTCTTTTTGCTATCATCCGCCCGCACTTCTCTAGTCCGAACGACATTCCGATGTCCTTGCTGTATATCCTAGTTAGGTGGATCAGTGAGTCAATATCTCGCTCATTCTTGGCATACAGCTTGATGTAGAATAGGTGGCTGATGGTAGCTCCACTGCAACCTGTATCCATATCCACTCTTCTTGATGATCTGGCTAAGGGGGTTGAGGCCTATGCAGAACAGGATTGGGGATAGCGCATCACCTTGGTATATGCCACATTTAATGTTCACTTGAGTTATTGTCCTGGAATTGGCTTCTAGAGTTGTTTTCCACTTGCCCATCGAGTTTTTGATGAAGGCTCTTATGGTCTTGCTGACCTTGTAGAGAGCCAAGCATTCCATGTGTGTGACATTGTGTCATAGGCTTTATTGTAGTCAGTCCAGGCCATACACAGATTGGTCTGTCTGGTCTTAGAATCCCTTGTGACTTCTTGGTCTACCAGTAGTTGGTGTTCTGATCCTCTGGTGTTGTTTCCAATCCCCTTCTGAGTATTGCTTATATATTGACTCATGTGCCCTTGTATCTTGGAGGCTATAATGCCTGACAGGAGTTTCCATGTTGTGGGGAGGCAGGTTATTGGTCACTAGTTGGATGGTGCCAGGGGTGGACTGAGAGCCTTTGGGGCCCCTGGGCAAAATTAGATCCCAGGCCCTTTGAGGGCCAAATATATGTGCATTAAAGAAATGTTAAATATAATTCATAATACGGCATTCCTTTGGATGTGTGTATTGTGAAGACCTGTGCATCAATGCATGTTTGTATTTGAGTCTGTGTGAATGCACTTGTGCATGTCTGGATGACTACATGTGCTTTTTTGTATATAGTGTCTGTGTGAATGCATATGTGACAGGTGACAGAGTGTGTGAGGGAGAAGGTGACAGGTGGAAGAGTGTGGGAGGTTGTGACAGGTGGCAGAGTGAGGGGGTACCTGGTGGCAGAGGGAGGGAGGGAGGGGTTGAGTGGTGGCAGAGTGAGGGGGAGACACAGTGAGTGGGGGTGACTGGTGACAGAGTGAGGGAGTGGGTGACTAGTGACAGCGGGAGGGAGATAGGGGTGACTAGTGACAGAGTGAGGGAATGGGAGACTAGTGGCAGAGTGAGGGAGGGAAGAGATGACTAGTGGCAAAGTGAGGGAGGGAAGGGGTGACTAGTGACAGAGTGAGGGGATGACTGGTGACAGAGTAAGGGGGGGTGACTGCCACTAGTCACCCCATCCCTCTCTCTGTCACTAGTCACTCCCTCCCTAACTCTGTCACTGTGTCACCCGCTCTCTCACTCTGTCACTAGTCACCACCTTACTCTGTCACTGTGTCACCCCCTCACTCACTCTGTCACTAGTCACCCCAACCCTCTCTCTGTCACTAGTCACCCATCCCTCTCTCTGTCACTGTGAAGGAAGGAAGGGGTGACTGGTGACAGAGTGAGGGAAGGGATGACTAGTGGCAGAGTGGGGGAAGGGATGACTGGTGACAGAGTGAGAGAGGGGGTGACTAATGACAGAGCGAGAGAGGGGGTGACTAGTGACAGAGTGAGAGAGGGGGTGACTGTCCCTAGTCACCCCATCCCTCACTCTGTCACTAGTCACCCTCTCTCTCACTCTGTCACTAGTCACCCCCTCTCTCACTCTGTCACTAAGGACAGAGGGGGTGATTAGTGACAGAGTGAGGGAGGGGGTGACTAGTGACAGAGTGAGGGAGCAGGTGACACAGTGACAGAGTTAGGAGGGAGTGACTAGTGACGGAGAGAGGGATGGGGTGACTAGTGACAGTCACCCCCTCCCTCACTCTGTCACTAGTCACTCCCTCTCTCACTCTGTCACTAGTCACCCCCTCTCTCACTCTGTCACTAGTCACCCCATTCCCTCTCTCTGTCACTCCCTCTCTCTGTCACTAGTCACACCCTCCCTCACTCTGTCACTAGTCACACCCTTCCTCACTGTCATTGTCACCCTCCTTTCTTGTCATTTTGAACACACTCTCTCTGTCACTGTCACTTCACCTGGGTCACCAGAGGAGGGGGGTGACTATGACAGAGTGAGGGGTGGACGGAGTGAGGGGGTGACAGGTGACAGAGTGAGGGAAGAGGTGACTAGTGGCAGAGTGAGGGGATGACTAGTGACAGAGTGAGGGAGGTGACGACTAGTGACAGTGGGGGGGTGACTAGGGACAGGGGGGGTGACTAGTGACAGAGGAGGGGGGTGACTAGTGACAGTGAGGAGGGGTGACTAGTGACAGTGAGATGGGGGGGTGACTAGTGACAGTGAGGAGGGGTGACTAGTGACAGTGGGGGGGTGACTAGTGACAGTGAGGGTGACAAGTGACAGTGAGTGGTGACAAGAGACAAAGGGAGGGATGGGTGACTAGTGAGAGTAAGGGAGGGGGTGACTAGTGACAGAGTGAGGGGTGACAAGTGACAGAGTGAGGGGTGACTAGTGACAGTGAGGGGTGACTAGTGACAGTGAGGGGTGACAAGTGACAGAGTGAGCGGTGACTAGTGACAGTGAAGGGTGACAAGTGACAATGAGGGGGGGTGACAGTGGAGGGGGGTGACTCAGTGACAGTGAGGGGGGGGCGGGACTAGTGACAGTGGGGGGGTGACCAGACAGTGAGGGGGTGACAGTGAGGGGTGACTGGTGAGCAGTGAGGGGGTACCAGTACAGTGAGGGGGGGTGACTAGTGATAGCAGGGCTGGGGTGACTAGTGACAGTGAGTGGGGTGACTAGTGACAATGAGGGGGGTGACAGTGAGGGGGGGTGACTGGTGACAATGAGGGGGTGTGACTAGTGACAGTAAGGGGGGGTGACTAGTGACAGTGGGGGGGAGGGGGTGATTGGTGCCGACCTGTCTCTCTGTTTCCTCTTCTGTCCCAGGCTGCTGCTCCTTCCCCTCCTGGGCTCTGTGTGTGAGAGGAGTAAACAGGAAGTGAGGTCACTTCCTGGCCCGCCTCTCCCATCACACAGAGCCGCATGGGAGAGGAAGCAGGAGACCTAGCAGACAGCTGGTGAAGCTGCCAGGTCTCAATGGGGGGGTGACTAGCAGAGCGGTAGGTTGTGGGGCCCCGCGCTGCATCAGGCGCCCCACGACCTATCGATTAAATAGTTTTATTTTATTATTTTGCTGTTCCAGTTGGAGAGATCTCTGATCTCTCCAGCTGGAACAAGGCTGTGCTGCCAGGCCCCTGACTGCCTCGGGCCCTCGGTCCATGACCGATGTGCCCGAGTAGTCAGTCCGCCCCTGGATGGTGCTGTTCCCTTGTGAGTGTCCTTCATGACCAGTATTGTTCTGCCTTGTGTTAGCCAGTCAGGGTGGAAGCCTGTTGCTAGTAGCTGGTTCATTTGCGCTGCTAGGCGTTCCTGCAGAACTGTTAACTTCTTTATCCAGTAGTTGTGGATCATGTCAGATGCTGGGGCTGACCAGCTCTTCATGTGTACTGCTCTCTGTTGGATATCTTCAACTGTGATGATAACTGGTTCCTGTTCTGGCAGCATGCAATGGTCTGCTTTCAGGTCCAGTAGCCATTGGGCCTCAATGTTATAAGATGCTTCTTGCTCCCAGATATTCTTCCAGTATTGTTCAGTCTCAGGTCTGGGTGGGTCTTGGGAGGAGATGTGGTGGTTACCCTGTACACGGGTTCTTTGGTAAAGAGGGCATTGATTCTTTTAGCCTCTGCTTCTCTAGCATATCTGCTCAGTCTGGTTGCCAGTGCTATCGGTCTTTGCTTAGCTGTTTCCAGCACCTCTGGTATGGGCATATCCTTGTACTTCTGCAACAGCCAGAATATATCTTTGATCTTCCCACCTCTGTTAAGTTGATCCAGCTTACTATCTTCCGAGCCTTCTTTATCTTGGCTTCCATTCGTAGTCTTAGTCTCCATGGTAGGCATTGGGCAGCTAGTGTGCTGTCTGGTGGTTGCTTTCCAATGATCTTCAGTAGTCTTGTCCGCAGGTTAACGACTGCTAGTTTTTCTAGGATCATTTTCCTTATATCTATTGTTATGCCATCTTGGGGTATGGATTCAGGTTGACAATTCTCTGCAGGTAAGAATGTGGGTACGGGAATTTCTTCCTCTTCATGGTGTATGGTTGATTTCTTCTGTAGCACCACATTTATGCATGTTCAGGTGAGTGCAGCCCCCTGGTTTCATATATATATTTGAGAGTCAGGCCAACTCCTTGGTTTAAACATCGTATGCCATAATGGTTAAAAATATGTAATAATTAGATCACAATAGATAGGGGGAGTCGAACCATATATTTATATATCAAGGGAATACATAGATAGAATGGCTAAGGGAGGGGAAAGGAGAGGGAGGACTTGTACTATCATATTTAAGAACTGGAGAGATATGTTGAACAGAACTAGAATAGCAATTTATTGTAATATGTTTTTTTTAAACCAACGCGATCCTATATCCTAGACAAACTAACTGATCTATTGAAGGCTATAGTATTAAATAAAGGTCGGATTTTCGGAATACTGTTTGGTCTCTGATGAGGTCTGGAGAAATTTTTTTTTTCTCCTCTCTTCATTAGTGTTTTTATTTCTGCAATTATAGGTAGGTCCGTTCAGGTAGATATAAGTTCACAGGTCTCCCTATTCTGCTTCTTTCCTGGATACGTTCCATTTTTCATATTATATCTTGGAATTATAATGACTGAGGGAAGGGAGAGGAGAGGGAGATTAGTACTATTATAATGGATAGTTGTAAAATACATCAAGTAATGTCAGATTAGCAATTCATGGGGTTATGGCTCTAGGGGCTAGGGTGGTCATATATTCTAGTCAAAGGTGACAGCATTGTGGATTGCCATTTGACCGATTTTGGGCTAGATACTTGGAATGCCGTTTGGTTTCTGAAGAGTTTGGAGGCCTTTCTCCTCTCGCTAGGGTCTCTATTCCTGCAACTATAGGCAGGTCTTGTTCAGGGGGCTCCATATATATATATGTATATATATAAGAAAATCCAAATGTATGGCTGCACTCACGGTTTAAAAAAAAGTTTAATGAAAAAACGGTTTAAAACATCAAGTGATCAACGTTTCAGTCATATATCCTTTCGTTTCAGTCATCTATGATCCTGATGAAAGTCTTATATGACTGAAACGTTGATCACTTGATGTTTTAAACCGTTTTTTCATTAAACTTTGGACTTTTAAACCGTGAGTGCAGCCATACATTTTGATTTTCTTGGATACTGAAGCTGTCTTTGGTTGGCACCCGGCCATTAAGGGACATTGGAGCGTGAGTGCAGGAGCTACTTGTATTTATGTGTATATATATTGTAACAAACCACCTTTTTTACAGGTAGGATTGTCACAGATCTTGCAGTAACCACAGCCTTCTAGGGTATACAAAGTCCAGGACACATTCAGCTTGGTTTTCCTTTTTATTCAATAAGAAAACAGGTTCTTTAAATAATAACAAATAAACAAAATCCCTTGCTCTTACTTGAGCTCTTACTAGACAGGAATTACTCTCTGTAATTGGGTGGCTTTCCCACTTATCAATTTTCCAAAAGAAATGGCTTTGCAATAAACACAATTGTCTTTCACTCTCCTAGCTGTCTTTTTCTCCCTCACTCTGCAGCAGGCTGCCCTCTTCTTTTAAAGGCCTGTCTACTAATTGACTAGCAACAGGTGAGTGCCAATTAATTAACTCGTAAGTCAGATCCAAATAGTAGTCTGTTACACAGCAACTAATGCTGTTGGAGCATTGGCCCACCCTGCTCTCCAAATTTCCCTTGCCCCAGGGACCCATGCCATGTTTTGCAGAGCATCAGCTATGCATATTGCAAACTTTAACATCTCTCCCTGGGGCATTTAACTGAAAATCCTCTGGTTGCTGTTTAGCAAATCAGGCCTGATGTATCTTCCATCAACCACTATTCCACTTTTACGCTCACAATATATATATATATATATATATGTATAAGTTTCCCCACTGGATTACCAAGAGGCGGTTTGTTCCCCCTCTTGAATTATTTTTTATATTTTATGTACCTTATAATGTAAATGTGTATTTTTTCTTTCGTTTCTGTTTTTTCTTTTTTGCTTTTCTGAGACTCGATTTGGGGCGTAATCAGGACAATAGGTGTTATGATGGCACTTAATGTGATATCATGGAATGGCCAGGGTTTGAACTCACCACAGAAAAGGTGAGCGGTCTATAAATTTCTAAATGGAAATGATATTGATATTGCTTTTATTCAGGAGACACACTGGATTAATCCCCCAGAGAGACTCTGGAAGTTTAAGAAATTCCCGTTGATATTTTCTTCCAATATGGAGGGGAATAAAAAAAAAGAGGTACTGCTATCATAATCTCTAGTAGAATTAATTTTGAAACAATACATCTAACTGGGGATACAATGGGAAGATATGTGATACGCATCGCAATAATTAATGGTATTATATATACTTTGGTTAATATTTATGCACCAAATTCGTGTCCGGGGACTTTTTGGATAAAACTATGGAAAAGGTTGATGAATTAGCATGTGGTAACGTCATAATTGGGGGAGACTTTAATTGTGTATTGGATCCAGCACGGGATAAAAGCCATAAAAATGTTAGAGATTATAAATCTGTAAATACTTATGTTTCTGATTTTTCTAAATTTCTAGATAGGAATTCTCTATTTGACTGTTGGAGGACTTTGAATCCTGGTGAGAGAGATTACACTTTTTTTTCACATGTCCATCAGACCTATTCTCGAATAGATATGTTTTTGGTGAAAGCTGGGTTTTTGAGTTCCATTATTAAATCCAATATTGGATCCATAGTTGTTTCAGATCACGCACCAGTATTCATTAAGGTTAAGTTAAAAGGTGGTCTTAGACCAAGGACAAGGTGGAGACTTAATGAAAACCTTTTGAAATCAGAGTGCAACATTGATTTTTTTGTCATCTGAAATTGAAAACTTTTTGATTA